CTGTATCTTCTTCCTTTTTCGATCTCTCTCTCTCTCTCTTTCTCGCTCTCTGTCTCTGTCTCTGTCTCTGTCCTTCTCTCTCCCTCCCTGCATGTAACATGCATGCGTGCACATGCACCTGCACCTGCATGCACCTGCACATGCATGTGCGTGTCACATTCCGCACCGTGCCATGCATCTCCAACTGCATGCAGGAACCAGCCTACAAAGAGCTGCACGTGGACTTGCTCCTCACAAAGGGGAGGCCCCAGGTTCGAACTCTGATGCCCCAGAAGGTCAGCATTACAGCATACTGCGGTGGATGGCGAAATCCATTTCGCACCACTAAAGAAACCCCGGTTTGAGGAGTCCCCTGGAAACTTCAACAAACATGTGCAGGATTTCGTCCATCCACAGCCCCTGAACTCAAGGGATTGGGATGGTTTGTGGAGGAGCCTGGGGGGGGGGGATCCTATGATTTCGGGGTGTGACCACCCGAGCGGCCTCCAGAGCTGATGCCTTTCGACCGCGGCAACGCGCAGTTGGCAAGTGCAACCGGAATGAAAACGTGCTTGTTTTTGTTTCGAGCGCCATGCTGAAAACAAGCCTCCAATAATGTTTGCCATGCTGATTTACTGTGCATTATCAAGCTTTGAATGTCACTCCCACACAGCCAACACTTTGCTTCACCCAAGTGGGGTTGAAACCCCCCTGTTCCCACAACCCTGCTCTCAAACCTTCGCGTGTCCACAACCCGCCGTCAAAAGCCGAGAATCCACCAGGTGGAGCCAGTCCTCGGACAGCGGTTTTTTTCCCCGCGGAGAGACATCATCGCAGGACGCCCGCTTGGCCAAGGCGATGCTTTTCCAAACAAGGGAAATGTTTCTTGAACCCCGAAAGAGGGTAAAGGACCGCTTGGACACGCGTCAGGTCTCTTCAGAATTGCTTTGACACTTGGAGCCTGAGGCACGCAACCGACCTGCTCGTGTCTCATAAAAATAAGCTGGCGAAAACGCAGCCCGGATTAAAAACGGCTGGCTTTGGGCTTCGCCCACAGCTCGTGGGGGCTCGACAAGCATGCTGTGAGCGAAAGTAGCTCTTTTCAGCTTGCAACCCAAGCTGCAAGCTCCGTCACGGGCAAGCGCACACATCTCCAGCTTGTGCCTTCCGGATGGCAGGAATTTCATTATCTACACAGGAGGTTTGGGTTTGGGAGTAAGTGTGGGAGTCGGTCGCGGTTGCGGTTGTGGGTGTCGCCAAAATGGCTTCGGTGTTCCTTTTGGCTTGCCTGTCAAACCGCAGGAAAAAGGGATAGCCTCAAACAGAGAAGCGTGGTTGATGGCTCTTCGCATTACACATCTGACCAACATGTCCGTAGGGGGAATGCACGATGCATTTCCTGGTTCGCCGCCATGGGGAAAAATGGAACGACTCCGCAACGGCTTCTGGCAGCACATTTCTATTGGTAACCACACGCGTCCCAGACGCCAAGAAGTGCATTCCCTGCGCACACGAAAGGCAAAAACCTAGGCCGATGATCGCTCCGAACTGGGAATCTATGGCGACTTGCGCGTGCTCGTTGCCAAGAATCTACGAACCTGCCAGCAGTGTCGGGCAATGCGGCCCACGTTAAACTCCTTGGCTTCGGTCGCCCAACATCTAGCCTTGCTGAAGCCATCTTGCCACTGGAAGTGAACAGCGGGAAATACCCAAAACAACCTATCAAGTGTTGCCCAGGTGTCTACCGAATGGATTGCCCCGCTTTAATGTGCGCCTACTATGGCCGACACCGTCGCCAGATTGCCTCAAGTGGAGGTTCCCACCGAAGGTCCAACAGCCACTTGTGGCAAAATCCCAAAGGAAAGAACGCCAAGCAAGAAACCTAGCTGGGTACCTCGTTGTTTTGTTTTTTAGCGCAGCCCTCCAAATGATGGTGTTCCTTCTGGTTCCCTGTTAAAACCAAAAATACAAAGTACCCTCAAAGAGACACTCGAGCTGAATTCAGAAACTCCCGGAACCCATTCAGGAAGCCTCTGCACCCCAAATCGGTTTCCCATTTAAATATATGGGGTCGAAATCCCCAAACCTATCCAATCTGTCTAATGATTGGAAACCCAGTTGGCTCGTTGGTAAGTGGGCAAACGGTCATCCCCCGCTTGTTCTTTTGGCTCATCCCTTCAACCCAGCCACCAATCCCAACCACCAAGGATTCCCCGAGCTACAGCTCTTGAAGAACCGGCTGCCGACCCTTCGGCTCGAAGCCCAAAGCCCCCCTCGGGTCTCGATCGAGGGCTCGGCTCTCGCAGGAGATCAAGGACTCGGCCAGGACGGCGAACAAACCGATCTGGTTGAAGCCTAAGTCGCTGGGTTCTGTTGAGAGCCGGGGGTTTTGTTGGTGCCTTTTGGGAAGCCTTCCCAAAACAAGGGCGTCGACACACACACACACACACCACACACACACACACACGTCACACACACGTCACACATAAGTTGCACATCTGAACCCGCACGCGGGTTGACAATCCCAGATCGACCTGCCGAGGGCCCTGCAGAAAATGAGGAAGGCGATGAACCCCAGCGACATGAACTCCGAGCCCATCTTGTTCGCCAGCTCCTTCCCGCAAAACGGGAGAATTGGGACAGCCCCTCAGAAGTGAAACTACCCCCCACAGTAACTTAGAGAAGCCTTCAGAATGCGGTCACCTTAACAAAACCACCTGGTCACTGCATCAAAAGCTCCTGAGACCTTTTGGAAAAAACAAAACATCGGAGGGTCGTCCGGATGTTGAACTCCGCACTCCTTGTATAGCCGCACGTGCACTAAGCGTCCAGACCTTGGATCATGGCCATTTAACAGGCTCCGTTTTGAAGACCAAAAAACGACTCTGGACATATGTTTGAAGCGCCGTTTTTGAGGGTGCCACTTGTTTGGTGGCTTTGAAGGGAAACCAAACAACGAAGCCATTGTGCGGGTCGCCATTGCGGACCCAAAAAAAGAGACCCCATGTAGGTTCCGTTCAAGCTCTTGGCAATGTATCCGCCGACATTGCTCGGCGTGTCGGATACTTACTAGAGGATAGAGGATAACCCCCCCCCCCTAACCCCCCCCCCCCGACGTCTATTACGTAGGTTTTTTGGGGGGGGGGGCCCCCCACGTACCGCGCGGCAATTTGATGACGTTCCACTAAACGTAGTCTTCGGGGAGCCGGTGTCGCAAAACAGGGGTCCCAGGCTCGATTCCCCCTGCCGGCTTTTTGGCTGGCTTGGGCTTCCTGCATCCTTTTGCCGAAAATCTGGAAAAACTCAATGTTTTTGGACGTCCTCTTTGCGAAAACGCTGGAAAAACCGTGTTTTTTTGCGGGAAATACATACATACATGCATGAATGCATGCATGCATACATACATACATGCATGCATACATACATACATACATGCATACATGCATTACATACATACCTACCTACCTACCGACATACATACATACATACATACATTACATACATACATACATACATACATACATACATACATACATACATACATACATTACATTACATTACATTACATTACATTACATTACATTACATTACATTACATTACATTACATACATACACATACATACATACATACATACATTACATTACATTACATTACATTACATTACATTACATTACATTACATTACATTACATACATACATACATACATTACATACATACATACATACATACATACATACATACATACATACATACATACATACATACATACATACATACATACATACATACATACATACATACATACATACATACATACATACATACATACATACATACATACATACATACATACATACATACATACATACATACATACATACATACATACATACATACATACATACATACATACATACATACATACATACATACATACATACATACATACATACATACATACATACATACATACATACATACATACATACATACATACATACATACATACATACATACATACATACATACATACATACATACATACATACATACATACATACATACATACATACATACATACATACATACATACATACATACATACATACATACATACATACATACATACATACATACATACATACATACATACATACATACATACATACATACATACATACATACATACATACATACATACATACATACATACATACATACATACATACATTACATACATACATACATACATACATACATACATACATACATACATACATACATACATACATACATACATACATACATACATACATACATACATACATACATACATACATACATACATACATACATACATACATACATACATACATACATACATACATACATACATACATACATACATACATACATACATACATACATACATACATACATACATACATACATACATACATACATACAACACATACATACATACATACATACATACATACATACATACATACATACATACATACATTACATACATACATTACATTACATTACATTACATTACATTACATTACATTACATTACATTACATTACATTACATACATACATACATACATACATACATACATTACATACATACATACATACATACACATACATACATACATACATACATACATACATACATACATACATACATACATACATACATACATACATACATACATACATACATACATACATTACATTACACATACATACATACATACATACATACATACATACATACATACATACATACATACATACATACATACATACATACATACATACATACATACATACATACATACATACATACATACATACATACATACATACATACATACATACATACATACATACATACATACATACATACATACATACATACATACATACATACATACATACATACATACATACATACATACATACATACATACATACATACATTACATTACATTTACATTACATTACATTACATTACATTACATTACATTACATACATACATACATACATACATGCATACATACATACTTATGTACATGCATGCATACATACGAGAGAGGGAGATTGGGGAGAGAGAGGCTTGGGGGGATGGGGAGGATGGGAGCAGAGGCTCTAAAGTTTCCATGATATAACTCACGCGGAGAGAGGGGGGTCAGGCCTAAGCTTTGAGTCACAAGGCATGCTTTCTTGGTCAAGGCCGGCGATGTGTCAGCATGACGTCTGCCCAAAAAGCCAGCGATTTAATAATGAAGCTTCAGCGAAGCTTGTGGAATACCAAGTGATATGGGCACCCAAATAAAACACTGAGCCTCAACCAAAAGATTCGGTGACTGGATGGTGTGAGAGATGTTTTCCTGAGAGACATCTTTCGCTCCCAACTGCAGGACGTGTCTTCCAACCTTGCGCCTCGACCTCGTGCGTGGGCGCTTGAGGCGGTGGCTCGTCGTCGTTTCGATGGTTCGGCTCGTACGCCGCCTCGTGCAGCTGACCGTAGTAATAGGAGGTGGCCGCCTCAAAATAGGATGCGCCGGACACTCCCGGAGTCCCAGATGTTCATGTTGGATCGCGTCCTTTCAACAGGTGTGCGGTCCATTTGAGCAAAGACTATGTGGGCCACAAGCCAAGCTGATAGGCCGGTCTACGGTTGGGTGATCATTCTGCTGCCTCACAGCGAGAAAACCCCCTGGGTAAAGTCACTGCGCGCGGTTTTCTTCAGCCGAGGGCACGGGTTTGGAAAGCATGTGCCAGAAAGTGTCGAACCTCAGCTTCGCATCAACCATGCTTCAGCTCAAGAAATCTGCAGGTTCCTGGCAGGACCTTGGCCCAAAGTGGAAGGAGCAAAAAGCTTTGGGCGGGTTTGCCACATAGGGAACCCCCTCCCCCACCAAAAACAAGAGGGGTTTCTCTTGTTCACCTCAACCAACACCGGGGTGCCCTCCAAAAAGCCGACACCCAGGTGCAAGTCATGGGTCGAGCTGAAGGTTGGCTGAGCGGCAAGAGCTCCAGCAGGACGCAGGTCACCGCGGCCTTGGCAACGCACCAATGAGCCCGGAATGTTGGTCCAACCCACAAGGCTCGAAAATTTTGCCAAGAAAAAGAAAGGCAAAGAGGCAACGCCGCCACTGGTGGCATCTGTTTTGTTTATTTTTGTTTGTTTGTTTTTCCCCATGAGCCCTCGAAACCTGTCAAACCAAGTCTTCCGGACTAAAGTCGCCCCAGTTGAAGGGCTCCGCTCGCAGGTCAGGTTGCGCCGGCCGTTGCAGCAATGGAGGTAGCTGCAGGCCATGCCCTTGAAAAGGCTGCCGTCGGCGAGCTCTCTGAGCTACTTCCTGTACTTCCTGCTCCTTCTCCGAGCTCGAGCTCATCCCGGCTGTCGATGGGTTCGATTTGGATTCAGGCGCGCTTGGCTGGTGCGCACCAGAGCGTGCGGCGGTAGGGCTGACGGAACCAGTCCTCTGCCCATGACCTCAAAAGTAGGTGAAGGGACCATTTCTGCGCAGTTGGCCCAGTAGGTTAGCGCGGTTAAACACTGATTGACGAGAGCCGCGCTGTCCACACGCCTCGATATGATGGTAACATTGTGCCACGTGTAAATGTTTGTTTTCACAAGGCGGCAACCCCAAGACCACACAGGAAAGAAGCAGCAGCGTCCGCATTTCAAAAGCCTGGATGCTTGAGCCCAGCTTGAGAACGGGGGCTTCGGGGGAAGGTGGGGAAGCGCGTGGCCAGCTGGCCAACGACCCATATCCCGATGAAGTATCAAAATCCTGTGGCTCATCTTCTTGTTTTGTACTTAGCTTCACCCAGTCACAAGCTGCTAGCTTGGTGTCCGGCACAGCCCTCCACATAGTTAAACCTCAGTCGGACAACACAAGCCCTCCTCGTAGCAAGGCGTGCACCCACATCAAGCCAAGCAGCTCATGATCCTCATTCCACCAGTCCACCATCAATCCATGACACGGAACGGCGTGAGCGTTTACGGCCAAAAACTCTGGAGAGCCTGCGCTGTGCTGGCCGAATCGGTGGCTCCCTGACTTGCCTGCGGGCCACTCTTCTCCTTGAGATGGGCGAGGGCGATGGGCGTACCGCAGACAGTCTGACCCAAACCTTGGATTCTTCACCGCCCCTGTCCTGAAAGCTCGCAGAGATTGTGCCAGCGTGGCTTCAACATACGTTTTGGCATTTTGACCCTGGCGCGTGTTTGGGGGTTGGCATTGCGCAACGGAACAAACAAAGCACAACATCAGCGCATGAAAATCCGAAGCCCACCCCCCACTCCATGAGTCCCTGAAAGTACACCCAGAGGGCCATCGGTTGAACTTCCACACATCACCTCGCCCCCGGTTCCCCCCAAAGCGATCGGTGCAAAACGGCGCCCCTTCCCTCGAACGCTGGCCTCACATCGCTTCGCCTGGCTTGGGGGCCATCTCCTTCCCACCAGTGGCCGGCAATCCTTTCCCCGCAGCCTCCTACTTCCCGGTGGGCCAAAGAGCAACAGGCAAGAAAGAATCTGAAAATATGAAGTACCCAAAAAATTAAAAAAACGACACCCAATGCAAGAAGGGGCCAAAAACAAAGAAAGCCCCCAGACGTCTTCCCGTAGCATTCCCAGACCCATTTCCCAGAATCCTCGAACCCATGTTGTCTATGTCTGCTACTTTTGTTGTAATTAGTTCAACTTCATGTTCAAAACATTGGACAATTGGAAGACTTGGCCCTCAAATGATGTCACATTGCTTTATTTTGTCATACTTACTTACATTGCATATTGGTTCTTACGTAGGGGGCACGAATGACACCTACGAAGCGAACTTGAAAGGCTGGTGACAGAGGCAGCGCTGATCAGGTGTAGAAATGCTTAGTATTGTTTACTACTGGCTTGGTATTGGGTAGGATGGGCTGAATCGGTCGGGTCAGCCACCGAGAGGCTGGCTGGAAGCTTGAAGAAATGTGTGACCCCGACCGTGTTCCTGGGTTTTCCTCAAGATCACTAGGCTACGTGAAAACTACAGGAAGTCTTCCTGTAGCTTCCCCATAATCCAGTTGTCTTCGTCGGGAATTGGAAAATGCATTTAAACAAATGGAACTTCCAGGGCCACACGCTTTCTAAAAAGAAGAAGAAAAAAAGAAATGCAAAACAATGCATGCACAGTTCTCCATGATCTTCCTTTCCACGCACCCACCCGAACTTTCCGAACCAGGAATGCCTCCACCCTCACTCTGTGCCCACACTCTTGCTACCCCCCTGCCTGCACCAACATCAAGCAAAGCCTTGCTTTTTGGTTTTGTTGTGAATCAAGCCCGCCATTGTTTTACAAGAATCGGCACAGCCCAGGGCCTCTAGTCTGACACGGCATCTGACCTATGGCTCCGCTGATGAATCAAATCTCTCGGCAGCTCTCGGCGCGCAAGCTGCGGAGGTATCATGTTTTCAACCGCACGCAAACTGACAAACAACACTTTAAAGAATCTGTGCCCGCCCATGCGTGCACAGCGCTCACGCCTGACACCGCATGCCCAGCTCTGGTGAAAAAATAAAACTCTGGAGCCGGGTTCTGCGCTGCCCCCCCTCTCAGCCTACATGTTGCCTAAAGGAAATGCTTGCTTGGCAACGGGGAGCAGCCACAAGAGGTACTCTAAGACTTGAGGGCACGCAACTCGGCGTGCCCTGCGGGACGCTCACAGCAGAAAAGGCAGTCGAGTGCGACAAGCACTATGAACCAACCAATAAACAAACAAACAAACAAACAAACAAACAAAAGAACAGATCCAATCTTTGGGCTCTCCCTTAGCCCCTCCAGAACAGGCAACCATTCTCTGAAGCGTGAGAGGCAAGCGCACTTAATGCGCTGCCCGGCGAGCCGCATGGCTCACAAGCTGAGGCGCTGTTCCAGGGCAAGATCTCAAAGACTTCTGTCGGTCGCAGAGGGAAGAAAGGAAAGACAAACCCCGTACTGGGCGTCGCTCAAAATGGGTCGGGGCCCCACCCCTTTTGTGAGAAACCCCCCGGCCGCGGCCGAGTGGACTCCATTACGCCCATGGCTCTCCGGGTTTCATTCCGACGCTGTCCGTGGAATCCTGGCCCTTGGGCTCCCAAAAGGGATCCGATCCGCGCCGTCCGAGCCGATCCCTTCCATCTCAACTTTCAGCTTTCAGGAAGCCGCCTGCCATGAGCTAAAGGACTTGGCTGCTCAAAACTCGGGGTGGCCCATCCCCGATGTTCCGATTATGTTCCGATGAAGCCTTACCTGCCAAAAAAACCAGACAAACCACTTCGATCCGGAAGTCCGTCGAAAATGCTGGCACCTTCTGCTCCAAAGTTGGGTCGGAAGGTTCAAATCGGAGCACGGACTGAAGACTGTGGAGGCCTGCACACCTCGAGCCTGCAGTTTCGCGCGCGCGCAGAGCTCGACAAGCTCGCCCCGTCCGGGGATCGAGAAACCGCTCAAGCCTGGAGGGTCTGTGAACGGACCAAAAGCTCCTGAAAACTGCTGCACATCAATGCCGCAAAATGTTGGACCCTTCCGTGTATTGGGCAAAGTGCACTTGGACCGGTCCCACGGCTCCATCGAACTCAGTTTGCGGTTGTGGCCACAGCGCCTCAGTCGGGACCCGGGATCGGAATCTGGCTCAAGGGAAGAAGCCTTCCAGCATCTGACGGGAAGGCTAACACACGGGCGACCTTTCCGAAAGGATAGCCAAGCGGTCTATGCACAAAAGGCCTTAAAAAAAGGGTCTAACACCCATCCTCTTTGAGTCCCAGCCAGAAATCGTGCGCGCCCTCCATTCTTTACATAGCTTCAGGCAGGTTTTTATTGGGGCTACCTTTTTCAAGCTTATTAAAAAGCGCATGTTGGGGCCTGGGAGGTGAAGGGCATGGGGAGGAAAAATGGCAAGCACTAGGTAAACATAGGAAAAGCACTGGGCAAAGGCGGAACTGAAACCAAAACAAAAAATAATATTTGGGTCGATGGCTCGGAAGCGGGAAAACAAAAACATTGAGCTCATGTCACGCTCTTGCGAGGTGCGACTTTCTTAGCCCAAGATGACTGGAAGAGCATGAGTCATTCATGAGGCCACAAGACTCGCTATGTCGGCTGTGATGCGAAAGCGCTGATTGAGCAGGCCGAGGGCTTTCTTAGAATGGCTCGGCATTTGGAAAACAACATACACACACACTTTTGAACTGCGCGCACACAAACCAGCAGGCTTGCAAGCATGCATGCTTGCGGGCGCACTCTTTCACACACCCATCCACTAACCCAGCTACTTTCAGATCTATCATGATTCCAGACTTCAGCAACATCTTCAGTGCTCCTAGTGACAAGGCTCAAATCAGCTTGCATGGCGCCTGTCTCAGACTGCTTTGCGCACCCTTGCTGCCCGAGCCTATGGGTAGGTACCAACCTTTGGGCTCAGCGAGGGCCCCGAGACATGCGTCAAAACCCCTGGCGCAGGACGGTAAGGGGGCGATTCCGCGATTGCTGGGGGCCCGGCCCGAGGGCCACTCCACCTGGAGGGGGTTGCTGTCAGCGGCTTCATGGTTCCCAACTCTGTTGAACATGCGCGGTTTCTCAAGACCCCCCTTTTGTCTTTGTCTTTCTTTTTTTGGCTTCCCTTCAAATTCTCACCAAAAAGGGATCCCCCAAAAGCCAGGCTCTGACTAAAACAAGCTGTGAAAGCAAGTGCTCTCGCCTTCGGCTTCTTCTCCTTCTGCACCTTCAGTGCATCTAGAACTCGATGGACCTCCGTCGCTTTCTCCCGTCGATGCGAATCGGAGAAGCCGATTCGACCGAACCCTGGAGGTCAAAATCGCGATCGGCAAGCCCTGCGAGCAAATTCCAGCGCGGCCCACAGAAAGCTCGCCAAAAGCTTGACAAGAGGCATCTGTCTTCAGCACGAAGCTAATCATCTCCTCAGGTGCGCGAAAGCAGGGCTCCCTATGTGCCCAAAGGGCTGACTTCCCGTTATTTCTCAAAACTCGTAACTGGGAGATGTCCCCCCCACCCCAAAAAAAAAAAAAAACACATGACGGGAGACGGGTCTCTTTTGGCTTGCCTTCTAAACCCAAGAAGCCGTGAGAAGACACAGCCTCTTGGCGTGTCTGGATGTTTGATTTTTAAAGAACCTTGGATCCAAAGCCCCCGCCTCCTCCCCTTTTGCCTGGTTTCCGCCGAGCTTCTGAGGCCTTTTAGGGGCCGTTCAGGGAAATCCGATGCGGGGGGGGGGCAAGCGAGTGTGTTTTGTTCTTTGTTTAAGTCGAGATTTCACGCCCAAGCCAATCCCAAAATCCCCGTGGCTTTGTGGACACTTCCTTCAGCTCAGCGGGGGCCTTTCAGTTCATGTCCAGTTCTGTCCCGGGCGCGGGCTTCTGACCAACTGCGGCCACCTGGATATCCAAATCGCTGCGGCTCAGAAAGGGCAGGTCTAGGAACCTCACGCAAAGCGTCAGACCCGTGGAAGGGGGGGTTCGGTGGCACCTACCACACCACACAACTCATCAGAAAGGTCAACTCAAGGCAACATCAAGCCCCGGGCCCAAAAAATAAGGAAGCCCCCCCTGTTGTTTAAGCAACAGGGATAGAAACCTGTTGAGACCTTGAAGGTGACCCAAGCCTTGCCTTGCCGAAGAAAACACGAGCGCTCTGTTGGTGTGCGCATGTGGGAACCCAAGCCGGCCTTGGGAACTTCATTTGGACACCCGGTCACCCGGAACCCGTCTGGCCACAACTCAAACCACCCTCTTTCTGACAAGACAATCCAATCAACTCCCATGCCTGGCTGGGTGCACCATTTCGCTTGAAGGGGAAACGGAAGAGGACATCAACTGCCTGGAGGGACACGTGCCTTTCGCGGAAAAATCAAGCGCACCAGGATCCTCGAGAATTCACCTGCAAACATATGTGCCACACCCAAATGGCAAGCAACTCAACTGCAAACCTCTTTTCTTTCCGGCCCTTGCTGTGAGCCGAACAACTGTGTTCTTCGCAGCCCGCAGCTCCAATTCACAAATTCAATAACACCCCCTGCTTCTTTTGTTTCCCTTCAAGCCAAGCCGAACAGGGCCATGACATACATGCCGCTTCGGTTCGACCGAAACGGTGTGGGCTCCGTTTTCGATTTTTGTTCGGCCCTGGGGCAGCTCCGGAAGGCGGCGCACAGCTTCCAGGGACACCTCCTTGTCGGCTTTCACGTGCGCCTCGACACGCGAATGGCCCGGGGCCCGGGTGGGAGCTCTGGGCGGAACGGCTCAGGAAGAGCTTGGGAATCAGGGCTTGGGCTTCTTGTGGCTTGGGGGCTTGGAGTTGGGCTTGTTGTGTAAGGGCTTATGGGGTTCAGGGCTGGGCCCAAACGAGGGTTAAAATATGTGTGTTCTGGATATTCAACTCCCTTCACAAGTGGTGTTCCGTCTCCAAAATTCCAAATCAAATTTGCATAATCACCTGTAAAGGGAGCCAAACCCTCTACCAATCGAATCACATTGTGTTACGTAGTCCGTTTGAATCACAAGCTTAAGTTCAAATAAATCAATGTCAAATAATGGTTGTTCTGCACATCCAAGTTCTATAGGGGAACCCAAAAGGCATGGTGAAGTTAAAGGTCATTGAACTTAACAGGCGCTGGCCCAACCTGGGTGGCTGCCCCTCGCAGGTTTCCCTTCTTGCCCCTCCCCCAAAAAAAATAGAGAGCAAGGCTTTCCACTGACAAATTGACACAGGCAAGCCGTGAGCGGTGAGCGGATATGGCCGTTGTTCCCTTTTGGTGCCGCAGTTTCAGAGACTCCCGCTCACCTGACATAGCTGGACATTGGGTCTTTTCCCATGGCCAGCAAGGCCGACGAAACACCCAAAGAAAGCCCCAGGGACCCGCGGCGGGTTCCCCGAAAAGGACTCCTGACAAGAAATGTCACGGGTCCGTTTCGCACCCAAACATTAAACATTGCACCATTTCAGGGAGGCAGCCCAAATGACGCTAATCTGCAAGGTTTGAGCCTTTCAAAACTTTTAAAAAATACCAACACGGGATCCTTCAAACTCCAGCTGGGAAACCAGCGTCTAGGGGAAGCCTGCACACGGGGAGGGCGGAACACCCGGCCTCCAACTTCCGGTACATCTGCGGGTCGTTCCTCACCACGGCCATTCCTTGGCAGGTAGCGACAGGGGATTATTTTCCTTTGGGTGCGCCTTTTTTGAGGCTACCACTCGTTTGGTGGTTTTAAAGGACAACCAAAAGCAACCCACTTGTTTTGCTGGTTATTTAAAACAAAAACAAAAAAACAAAAATAAAGGAAGAAAAAACACGCCCTTGCCCGATTTCTTTGCGTTGCTGCAATCCAGGGCGGGCCTTTTTAGCCCGGAACCCTCTGCGCCTTCTCCGGGCTTGGCGCCGAGGATCCAAAGGAACGGCTCGTAAGGAGCCCCGTCTGCAAAGCAGCTAGCAGATGCACCCCCGACTCCTTGGAGACCAGCAAGACATTGGCTTCCTCGGTGAGATGCGGAACTTTTGGCCCGCGCCCATGCCGAGGGCACCGTGCCATGCGCGATTGGGGGGGGGGGGGGGGACGCAAACGAGGGATGATGGGACACCAAAGAAGCAACATAATACTCAGAAAAAATGGGAACAATACAAACAGGGAGAGCCGCCTGGGCCCTGAACGAGGGGAATGATGGAGCATGCGCAAACACAAAGAAACATATATATATGTATATATTTATTTATTTATACATACATCTGTGTGTACAGGTACGTTCGCATTTGCATACGCACTGCAAGATGGATTTAAAGAGAGATGTGATATCACGTCTACGTCGCGTGGGATCGCAATCAAAGCTTGAGTTCCCGGCAAGCCCTTGACATCTTGAGAATGAATGCTACGGAACCTTCGGGACAGGAACTGTGGAGTTACAAGCTCAAAGCGTGAGGCTTTGTAACTTTGCGTCATATCTATAGCGCACATGATGGATGAGGAACGTGAGCCTGGGGCTGCAACCCTGTGTCAAAGAAGAAGTTATTCCCACTAGCTTATCTGCACATGTAGAAAGCCACTGCATGTAGAAAGCTACCATCCGCAATGCAAAGTCTTCCGCGTGTTTCTTCCTCCAGCCCTCCCCACCCTTCCCCCCGCCCAACTGCCAGGCATCGATGGCGCTGGGGAGCCTCAGGACCCAAATCGCTTGGCACGCGGGATGGAGATGCGTGGGGCCCGGTCTTGGCTCAGGAGGCCAGAAAAACGGGATTCCCTTGGCTAGTCAAAGAAAGTGGCAACCTGAAAACCTACATTTTGCCCAATGGGCGTGTCCCCAAATACAGGGCCCAAAGTGAAGCCCAACTCTTCCACAACTGGCTTCCTTAAAGCTTGAAGCATCTAAACTCCTGCTTCACTATGATCCCCCACATCTCAAGCAACCATTTCAGGCTTTGCCCCCGCCCTCCATTTTTGTTGTCATCCTCCAAAGCCCAACTGGATCCCTCACTCCAAAGTCACCGGAGCATAGGTGGCCTTTTGGAAAAAAAGATGGCAATGGTAAATGGAACACAACCCATCTAAACCACTGCCATCTACCTTTCTCCAGGCTCACCTAAAAAAGGACACCTCTGCACCTGAGGATGTCTTTCCTCACCCCCCCAAAACAAAAAAAACAAAAAAAACAGCCCGCCCCAAGGAGCCCGCGCGCGCGCCCGCTTCGGCCGGGCCGCTGCTCGTCCGCGGCCACGAAGATGCCGTGGGAGGCCAGGAGCTGCCGCGCCGCGCAGCGGATCACCTGGGAGGCCAGAATTATCCCGACGGCGCAGCGGCGCGGGCGCGCGCGAGATAAACGGCGGGGCTGGAAGGAACCCAGGGATTCAGACACACACACCAAAAAACAAAAAAAGGTCACACGAAAAATCACATACGGGAATAAAGGGGAATCAGATTATTACAAGAAAACACGGGGACAAAGGCAATCACACAAGACAAAAAAAAAAAACGGTGCATAAGGGTCACTGGTCCGTTCCCTGCTGAGCACCAGCAAGTTGATTCCAAAGACATGTTCAGGAACAGTGCCCAAATCAAATCGGTGATCAATTTACGGGTGGCTCCTATTGAAACCATCGCCACTTGTGAAGAATCCGAAGAATGGAGGGAATCTGAGGTATGGGTGTTGGAGGTATGAAGCTCATAGATCACTTGTATAAGAAATATATGCCGCCTTACAAACTTCTGGTGGCATATAAGCATCCATACCTCCAAGACCCATACCTGGAAATGCTTTTGAGACTTGGTGCTTTGGTTGCAGATCCCTCGTTGCCACAGAACCCTCCAAATCCAACCATAGAACCATCAGCTTCTCTCAGTGGGGGTTTGGACGTGTTCCTGGGAAGGGGCTCTCAAACACCAGATGTTAAATTCAAATCCACCAATCCAAAACAGCAATTACCGGCAACTTGTCTAAGAGTGATGACAACAAAGACTGTTTTAGAGCCTGGTAGGGTACCTCAAACCAAAATCATGAATCATAAAGAAACTGTGTCCAAGTTTCATCAGCGCAGGTAACTGGATTTTCACCAGGAACACAAATGTCTTCAATTGCATGTGCAAAGCCACCAAGCCCAAACGGATTGGACTCCACTAAACTCGTCCCCCGTTGATTCCACTGAAAAGTCCCGGGGGAGTTCGGCTTTTCGCTGCCCTTCCACCAGGTCGCCTCGAGGTTCTCCTGCAACACGTCGCTGGCAAACTCGAAGGCCTGGCCAGCGGCGGAAAGTCCAAGCTTCCCGCCAGCCGCGTCTCCGGTTCCCGAAAAAAGCGGTGCAAGCTCAGCCTTGAAGACTGGTTCTGACCCATTTTTTGAGGGGCCATGGCTGATTCTGGTTTCAACCCGCTGGGGAGCCCAAAGGAAACAACATGTCACCTTACGTTTGCAGGCAAACCACTTGGAGGAACCTTGTAAATGGGTGGTTTCCCTTTGCCGTCCCTTTTAAGCAACCTCACAAAGGCCATCAATCGAAGCTTTGCCAGGCGCCTTAAAGGAAGCGCTCACAGCATCCATCACGGTGCTGAGGTCGGATCTCAGCATCGTCCTGAGCGAAGCGCTGTCCCCCGGAGCCCAGAACCGGGGGAAGCAGGGGGGGGGGGGGGTGGAGGGGTCATGGCCATCTTGGCTTCAAGGTGCCCATTTTGGCGACAGAAGTAAAACCAGCAGAATGCATGTGGACCTCAAATTCGGAACAAGTCCGTGGGTTTCGTGGCTTCCCCCTTCTTTAAATCCTTCGCCAGATTGGAGGCTCGTAGTGGGTTTCTTTGTCCAAACCGTGCTTTCCATTGGCAAAACATCCGCGTTTTTGCCACCCAACTCGACTTCCGGCTTCCTGTCAAAAATCACCCTGCTCGGCAATTTCCAGGAGGTCGAAAACTCCCAGAAAGGGAGGTTTGCCCTCAAATTCATGACTCCCTGCCAAAAAACAACAACAGTGACACCTCCTCAACGCACCCAACACACTTTTGGAGCCACCGGAGCCCCAGCAACCCCGGCCACTTTGTCCCATGTGCGAGGCGTACTGCAAGGACTGCGGGTGCTGCTTGGCCGCCAGCACAACCACCTGACGCGGACGCAGATGGACCGAGCGCGTTCGCAACAAGGGCATGTGTTGTGCTGACACCGCCAGGGGCGCCTGGGTTGTTCCGTGCATGTGTGACGTTGTTTTTGGCATTTGTTTGGGTGTTATGTGTGTCCTTACATACGTCACAGAATACGAACATAAGAACGCTCATGATAATAAAGACGCTCACGCATCCACACCCGCTGCACAAATGCTGGAAAAAGTGATGACACACGCGCTCACGCGCAGACAACCGCTGCACGCATGCTGGCACAAGTGATGGTAAGCACCCTCACGCAACCGCTCTGGAAGTACTGGGTGCCTGTCAGCGATCCGTTGCATGCAGACCGGATTTAGCAGGCTCGGAGGCATGGCCTCATGCCGGGTCCGACTGCTGCGGGGCTTTTGCAGCGCGGAGAGATGACTGTGAGGATGCTCACGCCGAAGGCAGGGATGCTTGAACTTGTGGCTGTGCTGAGGTTTTGGTCGCCCCACGCTGCCCTCACTGGCCCCATGCCCTGCACCTGCCAGGCGATGCTCAATGCAGTGCCTTCAGTGGAAGGCTGGAGGGAGATTGAATCCAGCGGGATCCTGACCATCGAAGTGAACGCCCCTCCTGTCGCTCAAAGTGCCCCCAACACAGCAAGCACCGGAAGGCCCAGGCTCTGGACAGAGTCTGGGGCGTATTGAAGGGTTTGATTTCCTCCCGGACGAAGCGCAAGGAGAAGACCATGCCGGTGGATGAACCACTTGCTCAAAGTGAGGGTTCACCAATTCATCTGGCGACGCAATCTAGGGCAAGGGCAAATTGACTGCGAAGACCTTTTGCAGGCATTGGCAAAGATCTGGCGAAGCAATCTAGGAAAATTGCGAACTTTTGGCAAGCATTGGCAATGCTATGGTATGAAAAACAAGTGAGTAGCAGTATGTTGTCACAACTCACACTTGAACCTGCCCCCTGTGACCAGTTCACCTTTACTCATTGATGTTGACTCTTTTAGCTGCCGCGACACACACCTATCTGAAACGAATTAGTTTTCTGCGCCTCATTGTCATGTTCGAGTATGGTCAGAAGCGTGAACTCATGAGTGCCAACCACCGTTGCCAACCAAAAGAAAATCGCTGAATTAGTTCGGTGAAATTATGTTGGATCCGTTTGTTTGATACCATTTGCTGAAGTTGTTGGCCAGCGCAGTGAGTTGAGAAGGCACGCAGCTTGATCTTGGCCGCCTCACGTCGGTGTGACCTGTTTGTCCAACCATTGGTAGGGTGGCAAAAACCTGCTGACAGTGAAGAAAACCCAATGCCTCCCAAGCCCAATGGTCTTCATATCAAAACCCAATGCTTTGAATTGCTGGGGAATTGCAGAATTCCATCAAAGCCATGTGAAACATGGACTCCAGGAGCCTTTTCGTGGCCAACCAGCAACAACGGCGCTGTCCCATGTCCAACCAGGACCCAGCTTTCAGTTTTGTTTGGCATTGCCTATGGGCCCTTGACACAACCCATTACAAATGGTGGATCAAGGTAGCTTGGGGTACCAATCCTACTAGCTTCAGAATTTACCATGATCAAAGTCACCCCTTGAGTGGTAGGCTAAAGGGAAACAACCCCATTTTCTGACTTTGATAACCCCCAGAAACCGTCAGAATAAAAATACCGCAATCCTAGTTTGGGTTCTTCATGGTGGGCAAGCAACCCCGTCGGCAGGCCGTGCCTCTCGGTGGTTGCGCAGCCGCTCGGACACGTGTTTCAGAGCTTGGCCTGTCCGACCCGAATTCTCGCTTTGGATGTGTGGCAGGATTGAAGCCCCATGGGGAGGTAGCCCCCTCTAAACCCGTCCAAAGCACCAAATAATGATTGGTGCTTTGAATTGGTTCCCCCAGTTTTCAGAAAAGAAAAAAAACAGGTTCGCGTTCTTCATTGACTTTCTCAATTGGCTCCCGCTGCTTTTGCCCAAAACAGGTCGCCTCAACAAAGCTGGATTAATTATCACCCACCCATGCGCGCGCGCAGACCCTATTTGGCTTTTGGCCCGCATGTTCAATGCTCAAATGGTTTGGAACTGGGAAACTCCAGGAAATTCTTCAACTCTTCCCTCCTTGGCATTGCGGCCGAGCAGAACGAGAGTCCGCCTGACGCCTGCACCGCTTGCTTCACGACCTCGCTGTCATCTCTCAGCTGCGGCGCTGCGAACCTCGCGCAAGCCAGCCCTTCGCTTGCGAAAAGGTACGAACCTTACGTGCCAAAAGCACCGTCGACTTTCCATGCCAGGGGCTTTCTAAGCCACATCTACCCCCCCTTCTCTACAACAAGCGCCCCCCCCTCCCCCAAACCGAGTTGCAGTCTCAAAAACCCACAGGTCGCGAGTCACTCCTTCAGACCTGCCGAGGCGCTGGATGGCGCAGCCATCTTGGCCCACAGCGGCCAGCACCACGCCGCGGTCCCCGTGCAGCCTCGCAGCCAAAAAGCGGTGGACGTGAATCTCCCGGGGCGAGGAACACGGCCGAAACCTGATACGATTCAATCCTGTGTTCCGAGTCTTGTGGCAGAAAAGCGTCCTGGATTCAAAAGCCAAGCACCCCGCAAACCTCCCCAACCGCAGCCCCCCGGAACCCTCCAACCCCCCACCCCATACGTCCCCCAACCAACAAAGCAAAAAGAAAGGGAAGAAGACCCCAAGTCTTCCCTCGCCCGTTCCTTTCGCTCGCGACTCACTCACTCCCACCCATCCTGTCGGAGGCGAACTCCAAGGCCAGGCCCGTGGTTTGCACTGCGCGTCGCACCACCTGCCGGCTCGCTTCGAAGCGTGGAAGCCCCGATTTGGTGGATCCACAGGCGGCAGCGTCCCCCCCAAAAAAAGAAGAAGACAAAAAACGAAAGGATCCATTCGCACATAAACCACCTCCCTATGAGTCAAGAAACAAATTGTGTTTGGATCCCGTGGATGGTGATGCGAAATCCGCTTCTCGCGCCACGGGTAGTGAAAACCATGGGAAAGAAACCCAAGCCGGTATTTACGTTGGGGAGTCGAATCATTCCAGGGTTTCTGAGGAGGGGCGAAACGGTTTCGTCCATCCACAGTATGGGTGGTTTCCCGTTGGCTTCATACCAAAAGGTGGTATAGCGGCTTTCCAGGTAAACCAGTTTTTGGGGGACCCCATTCACCCTCAACAACCAGCGGCCAAGCCCAAGTCCAAACCAATCCGAACCACCATCCTGCTTTCAAAAGATCCACTTTAAACGGGGCTGTCCTTCTTTGAGGGGACCTCAAAAAGTGCGGCTTTTGTCCTTCTATCGAGACACCCAGCCGTCCATGGATCACCAGATCACCACACCCAAGCAGTTCTCTTCTTTTCCTAGCAATGATAGGTGCCACAAAAAAAAAGGGGCCCAAGCCAGCTGAATGCAGCAGCAGGCATGGGCCACCAACCCCCTCAAGCCCACCTACCCCAATGCAAGGGATCCAACACCCAAGCAGCTCTCTTCTTTTCCTAGCAATGATAGGTGCACAAGGGGCCAGCTGCATGCAGCAGCAGGCATGGGCCACCAACCCCCACTGCTGGCACAATTCATTGCAGGCCCTCAGCATCACTGCACCGCCCAACCAACGGGCTGTAGGGCCAGCTACCCCATGGCTCGCGCCACACGCGCGCCAAGTCAAGCGATCGCCTATTGCACAAGCATGCCTGGCACAGTCTGGCCACGACTTAGCAAGTCGGCCCAAGTGTTACGTTCGCCAGCGATGTGTGTGCGCAACTTAACTGCACGCCTTGCTTGTAGCAAAAGAAACGTTGAATACGTAACTCCCTGGTTATCACACAGCCGCGAAAATTGTAAGACGCATCGCCCAGACTTTTGTTCACAAGCTTCAGTCTGCAACATCAAAAGAACCACTGAGCGAGCGCTTCCAGCGCATGCACGACTGCAGGCTTGTGGATTCGGCTGTACGGAGCCACTCGCGCAGATCTGCGCGTGTCAATTGCACAGCAAACCATTGCGCCGTGGCAACGTTCCGCTCCTGCCCCTGCGGTATCCACCACCCACCAATGCCTGCGGCGGCCTCAGTCGCACACGCGTCTGCTGCACAGACAACGTTGCCACTCTCACGCATACGCAGCGGGATGCCGACCCGCAATGCAATGGCGTCGCGAAACAACCGCGCCGCTCGGGATGGCCGAGTGCATGTGTTTGTGAACTTGGAGCGATAATCCATGAAGACAGGCTGACATGGCCGTGTCGCACACGTGGTGTCTGCAGCGCTGCGCACTCAACGCTTGACACAGGATTGTTGTTGGCGGAGTGTAAGCGCCAGCCAACTTGCACATCACAGCTACACGGGGGCGCTTGTCACAATCATTTTCGCGTCAAGCGATGAGATGATCTCAGCCAGTGCGGTCATTGTCACCAGGCGGGGGACTGCCCGTGGTTTGTGTAAAATCTGGAAGAGTGGCTCTAACCACGGCTTTAACCACCTTGCCCCATTGCAAACCACAACATCATGCCTGTCACTTGCTCAACCAAGGTCCGTTCCACACGTGTTTTGTCCGTGCACAATTTTGCAAGCAAGGGCAAAAACTTTTCAACTTTACATTCCGGCACGGACACAATGCCATGCCTTTGGAGAGCGAGAACTGCCAGCCAATCCAAGTGACTTCAACACCAAGGCGAACCTTCTCCCAGCTCAGCGGAACACCTAAAGCACAGAGAAACATGATACTTGTGGCTGCTACCAGCGGCGCTACATCAGCTGGTAGCATGGCTAAGCCATCATCAACGTATAAAAAGAGGCCGTGCTTTATCCAGATAAAGCGATGAAGTTGCCTGACTAACCACGCACCCACGCGCGCAAACCAAAAGGCAGCCCATTTACAGCCGAAGTAGCACGAACGGTACGCGCACCAACGCCCTTCGAATACGAAACACGAATAACCCTGCTCGGGCTCCCCGACTAAGCAAAGTTTATGGGCACCGCGCACATCAAAGCTCCAAGAAACCCAGCGGTCATCGCTGGCCCCCCGGGAAAGAAAATCTTGGACATTTTCAAGGCATGGAAGGCGCGCACGCTCCAAATCCGACTAGCTGCTTTGGTGCCCGACACAGTTCCATCTCCTACTAGGCGAGGCTTGCGCTTGTCGGCCGACACCACTCCGAACTTACCTACTGCAACAGCATGCCCCAGCGCAGCCGCGCTTCGGCTTCACCTCCGGTCCACAACTTGGTAACTGACTTGCAAGCTGTGAGTTCTCCGTCTCAACTACAGGCATTTGCGGCTTGACAGATAGTCACTCGGCGTCGCATTCGCTGGCACCATGCGACTCGCTATGGCAAATCTGGCACTGTTGAAGGAAACGGCAGCCTTCCCGATTGCATGTCCCTTTCTGAAACCCAAAGCAGGGACCTTTGCGACGCTTCGGGCCGTGTGCATCAGCCGTCCACTTGCTCCGCTTGCTTGGCCCGCGGGTGTCTTTGCTGGCCCTCGCGGTTTGTTCCAGCAGCACGCAAGACTCAGCTAGCGCTGGTTTCTTGGCCACACGACCAGTCATAGGCTTGGCAAGCTGTGGCACATGTGGCTGTTCCGCGCAACTTGCTCTGCCCGCGACTCGAACACCAGGCAAAGGCAACGGAACCTGTGGGCGGGCCAAGCCGGCTTCACATGAGGTAGACTGATACGGCGCTGGCCGGCTTTGGTCTTGGCAGCGCCATTACAGCAAAAGGAAAAGCAACCGGCCAGCTGCTGCCACCCCTTCCCCTCTTCACAAGCAACCGGCCAGCAGCTGCTTGCATTGGCCAAAGCCCACCCACCCCAACGCAAGGGATCCCAACCCCCCAATCCCCACCACCCCCAACCACCCGAAACAAGTCCCAACCACCCCTTATAAACCCCCCGCACCTCGGAGTCATCCCGGAGGTCCCGGGCCACGTGCTCCAGCGCCAGGCCCGTGGAGCTCACGGCCTGGAGCACCTCGAGCGCGGAATGCTCTGAACGCGGAGCGCGGAGCATTCCGAACCGGTCCGTCCAACCGGGGAGGCCAAAGTACAGGGCCGCGCTGTTTTTTGTTGTTTAACTATCATTTGTTTATTAAATGTGGTCCGAAAGTTGTTTTGAGTTATTTTTGAGTTGTTTGCTGGAGTTTGTGGTGTTAAGCTGCTTTTCTTAGTTGTTGCTTTTTTTATTGGTGGTTTGGATTGGTGCTTTGGTGGTGAATTGGAGGCGCTTCCCATTTCGGGAGCCGCTACAAGAACCAGGGGTACAACTCCCCGACCACAATCCAAACCACCAAGCACGGGGGGCCTGATGGTTCACTCTCCTGAGGAGTGGGTACGATTCATTTAGAAGGCGTCCAATTTTTTCGTGAGCTGCGCACGGAAAAAAAGAGCCCTGAGAAATCTTATCTGCCTTTCCCGGGCTTGACATTGGAATTGGTCCATGTCTGGATTGTGCTCAAAGGGGAACAAACTGGAAAGCAAGCCCAGTACTAGGTGGTTATGGGAGTCCCAGAATCCATCCCCTCCCCCCCCAAACCATTTCTGTGATCATGGCCCCACTGTTGGTTCGGGCAGTTTGGGCAATGCAACGAAAATCTCCGTTGTTCAAAAAACAGCCCTGGTCCGGTAGCCATTGATAGGCCTGTGATACTGGTAGATCTTCCGATCGATGAAGTCTCCAAAGCCGGGTAACAAAAAAATCAAAAAGATCCCTTTTATTCCCACAACCCCGCTGTCGTCATGACCCCCCCTGGTCAAAGACCAAAAGTCGAAGGGAGAACTCAGCCTTTCACGGCGAGACGCAATGTCCTTGTTCGCCTTCAGCTCTGGCGCCACGAACCTCTTCGGATCCGGTGTTGGCTCGCTCGGCCAAACGGAATCAATCCGAGTTAGTGGCAACCCGGTGGAGAAAAAGGGCGCCGCGTCCTTTTGGTTGGTCGGCTTTCTCCCTTCTTGGGAGCCCGACGCCCAGAAGAGAAAAGCGTGAGGGGTGCCAGCCGAGCCGGGACCCGGAACGTCAAGTCTTCCCTTTGCATGATTGGAAAGAGCGCAGGTGAGTCACAACCAAAACCCGGTACTTAAATGGCCTACCCAGAACCATGTAAGGAATTGAGAAGGCGGCCGCAGCTATTTATGGTTGGGAAGACGGCCGCATAAATAGCGCAAATCGCAATCCCGCCCCTTTCCCGCCTCAAGGCGCTCCCTGACTGGGAGACGCACGCCCGCACCAGCTCAAGGTCCTGCCGGTGTTTACTGCGGTTCAACATGGAGCCCGCAAAAGGGGTCCCAAGAAAGGAGTTCTCTATGGCTTCCAGGTTCCATGTTCATGGCCATTCTGGGGACCAAATGGTCAATCAAATTGGCTGGCCTATGTTCCACCGAGACTGAAACTTGCATCTGCAAGAATGCGCTGCCAAAGCGGATCCTTGCCCAAGCTTCCTCAACGTACCTCAACCAATGATAGAGCACGCCAACTTTCATGAGACAACCCATTCCCAAGGCCGGCCTGCACCTTCCCTGTTCTGCTAGGGCCCCCAAGAAAAGGAGCCTAATGGCGATCTCGTTTGTATCCCAGGCAGGTCTGGAGTTCAATAGGAGAACAGCACCCTGCACCCTCACCGCTCCTGCTGCAGCTCAGGCGGCGCCAATTGCAGGATGGCACCACTCCTGCAGCCCAAAACATTTAGGCAGGCAGGCAGGCAGGCAGGCAGGCAGGCAAGGCAAGCTTAAATCAAAGACTGCTTGTATAGGTATTGTCAACTTATTCATTCATTATTCTACTATGTGGTCGTTCATCTGCTGTTTTGCGAAGTGTTGTTCTGTCCGTTTGCTCTTGGATTGGGTTTTGAGCTTGCTGGCTTGTGTCTTGCTTTCTTGGATTTGTGGCTTGTTTGTTTGCTCGTGCGTTGTCTTCTTGTCTTGTTGGTGTGTTTGTGTGTTTGCGTGCGTGCTTGCTCGCTTGCTCACTCGCTCGCTCGCTTGCTTTCTCGTTTTCTTGCTGTCTTGATTTCTTGCTTTCTTGCTTTCTTGTTTGTTTGTGCTTGTCTTGATGGACTGGTGTTTGTTTTGGTGTTTGCTTCTGCGGGCTGTTGTTTGTTGTTGCTTGTGTTGGTTCATGTTGGTTTGCTCTTTGAGTTTGCTAGTTGGTTGGCTGGCTGGCTGGCTTGCTTGCGTGCCGGCCTGTCTGCCTCTGTGTCTCTGTCTGTTTGTCTCTGTCTGTTTCTGTCTGACTCTCTCTCTCTCTCTCTCTCTCTCTTTCTCTATCCATCTGTCTGTCTGTCTGTCTGTGTCTGCCCGTCTCTGTCTCCGTCTCCGTCTCTGTCTGTGTCTCTGTCTCTGTCTGTCTCTGTCTGTCTGTCGGTCTCAGTCTGTCTGTCTGTCTGTCTGTCTCTGTCTGTCTGGCTCTGTCTCTGTCTGTCTGTCTGTCTGTCTGTCTGTCTGTCTGTCTGTCTGTCTGTCACCGTCTGTCTGTCTCTGTCTGCCTTTCTCTCTCTCTCTCTCTCTCTCTGTCTATCTGTCTGTCTGTCTGTCCGTCCGTCTGTCTGTCTATCTGTTTGCTGGGTTGCTTGTTTGCTTGCTTGTTTGCTTGTTTGCTTGCCTGTTTGCTTGTCTGCTTGTCTGTCTGTCTGTCTGTCTGTCTCTGTCTCTGTCTCTGTCTCTGTCTCTG